TGTGTGATGAGACTACTCGAACGGCCATGGAAACAACACGTGGCCTTCGACTCTTCTGCCCAACTGGTCGCAGACAGCCCCCCTCACATGCCGGTACCAAAGTAGAGCAGCACCCCACCCACTAACAGACACTGACACTGTCCCTTTTCCTCCGGACCTGACCCTCAGACTGTCTGTACTCCCGAATGCCTTTCTCAACAAGGCTGCTTTGCAGACCGACGGCTCTCCAACGAATCCCTTCTCATCGCATGCCTTTCAGACGGGCTTGGAACATTTTTAGTTCATTAGTCGGTTTTTAAGCCTACCACTAAATCATTTATAAGCGACCTAATCGCCCATCAAGAAGTGGTGCTTGAATTTTTCCACAATCTGATGAATAGGCCTTACAGAAGTGGGTTTACCTCGTTGCCGCAACTTGGTCTTGTTGTCAGGGCGACTTAGTAGGACGCACTTAGTCCGAATTCCTCTGCCATAGTTGTTATAAAATACCCAGCACTCATTAATGCTGCCGACTACGATGCCGGCGAAACGTTTGAGAATGTACCAATCATGACAACTACTATAGCAGATGACTTCGGACTGGGTGCCTTATACTAAGTCGCCCTGACAACAAGAGCAAGTTGCGACAATGAGATCAACCCAATCCTAAACTCAATTGGTTTTATCGACCAAATTTACATTTTCCTCGTTGAATCGACATTATACCATCTTCATTGTTTAAGTATAGTTTATGAATGTTGCTGTTTTCCTTAATTAATTGCAGTGGTATGTTATAATGATGAATAGCAAATCGTATATTATATCCTCTTAACTCTTAGATTAGTCAGCATACAGGCAATATGCTGGATCACCTTGTATCTTTGTAACATTACGAAATCATTTTTTCAGGAAAACGAAAAAAGGTTTATGAAAATACGCTTCTTTATCTCGCAGAATAAACTGAAAATTAGTACAAAAATAGTACCGAATATTTCTGCATTGAACTGAATTAAAATTTTAACTTTTTGTGAATACTTTTAGCCTTATTGCCAAAATGTAAATATAATGTCCCCGCTAAAAGCTAACAATTTGCATATTTTCTGCCTCAAATGTGTATAGGGAAAGTTAGTCATCATTGGTAGAAACTTCTCGAGTAAGTAAAAGTAATTAAAAATGGCATACTTTAATCCAAATTTTCTGAGAAAGGCTAAATAAAAATATATTCATAACCATGTTCTTGAAGAGTAAGGAAGAGCGTGTAGTAAAATCTATTATTAACATTATTATTATTATTAGTATTCTACATTACATAATAATTTAGAAAAAAGCTGTTCAAAATGTGCTTAAGATGAATGAATATCGAATGAGAAGGAAACAAAGTCCACGTGGGGTCAATCTGAATTATTCATTTCTTTCAGGAGGTCGGCAGATATATTAAACTGGATTAGGCCACATTAATTTGACTCAGTTTTGCTTAGCTTGTTAGTTGCTTTCTCTTGGACAACAGGGCTCGGTTGGCAGCAGTCTACAAAATGCAAGTTACAAAGTGGACACTGAGCAATACGTAGATATATGAAGACAAAGATTTTGTAGCAGTTGGTATGGTCGCAGTCTCGTTTCGATTTATACATGTGGATTGACCTCGTTGTCGCAACTTTGTCTTGTTGTCAAGGGGACTTAATAGAACGCACCTAGTCAGAAGTCGTCTGACAGAGTAGTTGTCATGATTCCCAGCATCATACAGTGGACTTGATACATTCTCAAACGTTTCTCCGGCATCATCAGTCAGTTTTGCCATTCTCCGCACTGAGCTACGAACTCGTCAAAGAGAAAAGTTAACTCAATCCCTTGATTATGATGCCGGCGAAACGTTTGAGAATGTACCAGGTCCAGTGTCTGTTGCTGGGACTCATGATAACTACTATGGCAGACAACTTCGGACTAGGTGCTTTCTACGTAGTCGTCCTGACAACAACGAGGTTAACCCACTTCTATATATCTACATTGTTTGGCAAAATTGCATTAAGTGAAGAGAAAATCCCGAATGGCCAGCCACTCGATCCCATCAACAATTTCAACAAAGGGGCCGCAAAAAGGGCTGTTCTTTGTTGGCAAAGTCAAACAATTGCATTAACAAGACATGGACAGCTTAATTTGTAATTACTCAAT